GACCTTGTCCTTCAAAAAGCGTGTTTTTAAGCTCCGGGGGAAGGTATGCACTTGCAACAACCTTCTGGACAACCTTGCAAACACCAACTGGGGTGCCGACCCTATCAACCTCAAATCGTCTGCACTGGCGCTGTGCTACTAAACAGCTGAGTACTGTGCTGCAGTTTGGGAGAAGTCAGCTCATGCTCCCAAGAATGATGTAATGCTCATCGGAGCAAGGACACAAGAACATTCTAGAAAAGATGGTAACTGGGCTTCTACATTTGTTCTTGATGATCATCCATCACGCAGTTCTAAAAGGGGAAAAGAAATAACAAGTGCATAGCTTGTATTATAAATTATCACACAATTGGGCTGATTGGTTTGGGACACAAAGAAGACAAAAAATTAATTCACCCAACTCTCCGATTGGTTCAATGTTTGGTCGTCATTTCAAGAGCCAAACATATTACTCTACTAGTGACGCTTAAAAGAACGTACAAGGTCTGAACATTCCCAACAAACTCAGAAATTACATCAGCAGATTACTTATTTGGATTCAAACATTGAGCTGAATGAAGGGTGGGCTTAATCACTTCTAACCTCAGCTGTGCCCAGAGGCATCAAGTAACACATTTATTTCCCATCATGTGCTCCATCCAATGCAGATCATTGGCTCCATCCACATCTAGTGAAAACTAGTGGATGAGTCATAGAACGCAAACACTCATTGAATAGCTAAAGGAAATCATCAGAAGCAAGCAGGTGTTCTTCAAACTGCTAACGTGAATTGTCTATGCCATGCTACAATGTAGGATTCAGAAAAAGATGTTGAAATGTCTGAAAGGTCGGACACAGGCGAGAGCGTATCGGGAGACGGAGACCAACAAGACCTCCCTCATCCTTGGCCTCTTTCTCAAAGAAATTTTCAAAAAAGTCAAAAATTGAGCTTTCAATTCACATATTGGCATCTGGCTGTTTTTTTTTTAAAGGTTACTTTACACCTTAAGTAGTTTTTTGAACACATAGTTTTTGACTTTGGCTACATTCACACTGCAGGCCTTGAGGGTCAATTCAGATTTTTTTTGCAAAATCCGATTTTTTTATGATGTTGTTCATATTTCCAAATATATGCAACTTGTATGTGATCTCCTTTGTGAACTGCAGTCATACAACGCAAGTGTCCCGCATGTGCAGTAGAGGACACGATGACGTTATAGTCCCGCATGCTCTTTTTTTTCCGGAAATAAACATGGATGGTAGTGCCGGCGCACATCTAGCGGTCTTTTCCAACCATAAAAACTCAATCTTTTCAATATGGTTAAACATAAATACTGCTCTCTGCATCATCATCTGCCATGGTTGTTGTTTTTCTTGCAGCTTCAGCATATCAAGATGCAGAATAGTGACCTTTGTCGGGTATTGATGACATTCAGGACAGATGAATCCGACCTGGCCGTTCAGACACAGGTCGTATTTGAAAAGATCAGATTCGTATTGGATTCAGGACCATATAACAAGTGGCCTGGTTCGGATTGAAAAAAAAAAATAGGATCTTAGTTGTTCAGACTGCCAGGAGAAGATCAGATACAGGTCACATATGTGCCAAAAAATCGTATCTTGGTCACTTCAGGCTGCAGTGTGAATGTAGCCTTTTACTTCAGTAAAGAGGTCAAGTTGATACTTCAACTTTTACCAGAGTGTTTTTAAACTGCAGTATCTATACTTCTACTGAAGTAACAAATGTGTGTACTTTAGACACCACTGGCCGCACCATTTTTACAGTGTAACAGGATGTTACTTTAAAAGATAATTATATGTACTGGTCAAAAGAGATATCCCATTGTAAAAGAAACTACAAGAGAAATGAACTATCATGTTATCTAAAAACCAAAATCCATGTTTAAATATGTAAAAGTGTTTTTGATCGCCTCTTAATAGAATGTCTGAATGTATGTTTTAATGTGAAAAGTGAATTTGAAACACTGAAAAACTGATATAAATATTGTTTTTGTTCTAAGGGAATACATTATTTTAACACCTAGATTTGGCCCTTTCTTTGCATTGCAACCAAAATTTAATCTCCATGGCTCCAAGTCATCTTAGGCGACAGGTCCTAGTATATTTTTTTCCCGTAATTTTACAGCTCTAAAAGAAAAGGTCCTTTCTCTGCTCTTGTCTTATGCCTGCATCTTCTCCACCTACAGATTATATCTACCTCTGTTAATATTTGCAGCTGCCTATACAGTAAGATGCACACAATACCATGTGACAAGTAATTTCACTTCTGTGCTGCTTGATTGGATCCCTCTGCAGTGATCACATCAATACATTTGCATAATTCCCTCCTTCAATTGGACCTTAAGATGAAAGTTTTAGAGAAAAACACCAGTTGGACAGCAACAGGTTACAGCACAGTCCTGCACACATCTGTACCTATGATCATCATTTATACCTGTTGTTAAGGTTTTATTTAAATACCGAAAATATAGTAAGTCTGAATCTCTATAGTTTATCCTTTCCCACCTGAATCAAAACCCCCAACTTTCCTTGTCTATCCTGCTGGTTTCTTCCTCCAACTGTTACAGAAGGTGTGTTGAAGGAGGACTATGTTTCAGAATTTTGTGCGCACCATATACTTATGCTGTGGCAAAACATAACTACATCATGAAAACACGTTTTTGCACAAATTAGAGAACTCATTGGTTTATCAGTTCTATTGGCCACAAGTTAATATTTCTTGGGAACGATTTAGTATTTCGTGTTTTGTAATTTTTTGTCAGGTCCGTGTCCAGGCTCAATAGAAGCTGAAAATTTTAATCAGGAAATTTTGGCTGTCAGAGTTGTGTTGGAGGTTCTTTTGGATCCAAATGCAGAGGCAGAGTGGCTGAGGTGACTTCTTGCAGTTTAATTGGTGAAAAAAACAGTTAACAAATGCAGGAATCCAAAAATCCAACAAAAAAATGCAAAACAAACCGGAAACATGGAGACATCAGGGGAAACCCAACAGGAGAAGCCATGGAGAGATGAGGTAGGAAGACAACAGCAAAGAGAAACCGGCGACGACAAGGAACCAACAAGGAGTGACTGCAGAGGGAGTGTATATGTAGCTGACTGAGACAAAGGCAGGGCTAACGAGCGGACAAGGAGCAGGTATGTGTGACAACGAGGAAGCCAAGGGGAAAGGAACACACAAACGAGGGCAACAGAGGACAACAACAGAAAAACCTGAGAACTAAAATAAATCTAGAAACACAAAGTAGGAAATAGGCCAATAAAACACACCGATCAAAGTAAAACAGAAAGTAAGACCATGACATTGGATCTCAAGCAAATGCTGCTGCTGATGAAAACAACAAAAATAATAAATTTTCCAAAAGTAAAAGTGAATCATCTTACCAGTGGCAGCTGTAAGTTGTACTCCTCGGTTTCTAACATTTCCAAGCACATCAGAAACAGTAAAGGTGTATTTAGTTGCTGGGGTGAGGGATGAAACTGTGTATGTTACCGGTCCACTTCCACTCTGTGCTCCGACTTCTGTCTCGATACCATTATACTGGAGAACAAAGTTGACAATGCTGCTAGATCTGCTCCACTGTAGAGTGATACTGGTCTCAGTTTGTCCCACTAATTTTAAATCAAACACGTTCTGCGGAGCTATTTCTGGAAAAAGAAATATATCAAGATGTTCTGGGTTAAAGACAAACACTGAAACATTTAAAAACATTAATAATAGTGATCATGGAACAGTACCTGCACAGTAAGCAAGACGGCAAACAGATGGTTTCTGAAGTTTGTAAATGTAAAAGTTTGCAGGGCAGAGCTTGACCTTTATAGAGTTTGAGGCAAACAGACAACAGGAAGAGCCCCAGTGACCACACACATTGCGTGTCACAATTTCATTGATCTGTACAGGATGAGGCTCTGTTATGAACAAAGGAGCATGGGTCCCACATCGGCTTTTTTCCACACAGTGTTCAGGAATAGAAGCACTGATCTGGTTTAGATAAAAACGATACCAGCCATCCCAGTTAATATTTCTGTCACACTTTAGATTGGACTGGTCTGTATTATTCACTGAGCGCCAATCATCATGTAGTTCAGTATAGTGGCTACAGGGATCGACGCACTGAAGAGCTCCATTTACGCTGATGCAGTCCATGCCTGCAGAACAACTTCCCACTNCATCATGTAGTTCAGTATAGTGGCTACAGGGATCGACGCACTGAAGAGCTCCATTTACGCTGATGCAGTCCATGCCTGCAGAACAACTTCCCACTGCACATGAGAGAGCTTGTTCTACAACATATAGGGAGGGAGGGAGAGAAAGAGATACTGTTAATAATAACTTCCACAATAAAAGTCAAACAGCAAAATAATCTGAAATTGAATTCTGTCAAGATGATGTGTTCATTTCAGGAGTATCTCCTGTATTCTTGGTTTTCCTCGGTTTGCCTTGGAATCAAGAAATCTAGAACATACAGTAAGTCCATGCTAAAATACACAGCTAATTACTTTTATTTTAATTTGTAGCAGATAAACATAAAGAGCAGAAAAGTCCTCAGATCAGTCACACTAACATACATAATTACAATTACATAATCCTACTAACATTGTGTAGATTTGGAGGAGGGGGCTTTGACAGATGGATGAATAAAATAGTGAACAATTCAGATCATGGATTCCAGCACGCTACTTTGTCAGTTTCCAGTTGTTTCGGTGACAAATTATGGAAACAAATCGTTACCATATTTCAAATGAAAAGCATTTTCAGAAATGTTTTTTTTATTTTAAAAATGTGGTTGCATTGTTTGACTCATAAATACAATTAGTAATCAATAATCCTGTTTGCATTTTCATTTTCTTCTTTAACACTGCTCATCCTTTTACTTGATTAGAATGAAAAAGAAAAAGACATTTTAGATTTATTTTTCAAAATATACTCCAGCAAATACATACCAGAATTAAATTTGAAATGTAAAATTTGAAAATGAAAAAGCATTTCCAGAAATGCTTTTTCATTTTAAGAATGTGGCTGCATTGTTTGACTCATAAATGAAATGAGTAATCCATCATCCTGTTTGCATTTTCATTTTCTTCTTTAAGACTGCGCATTTTATGCCATAACCAAAAAAAAAAACACAGCGGACATTGCTTTTTTCATTTCCGTGGTCTACTAGCAAAGTACTGTCTATATTATAAAACGATTATAAAACGTTTTATAAAATATAAAACGAAAAAGCATTCTGAGCGGCGGGCGCAGCAGAGTGACATCAGCAGCCGCTCTTCCTCAGGTCCTTGCTGACCGGGCTACCCATCTTGTTCGGTAGGGGGCACTGTGCATGTCTGCATTGTATTACATTGTTGGCGTGCTGGCGGGAAACTGGTTGAATTGCTGGGAATTGCTGGGTCTTTAGCATCACAGGTCATGGCACTCCCTCAAATTGTACAAATTTTAGAATTAGCTGAGCAGGTCTGATGCCCCTGACCTAGTAGAACAAGTCGGTTTCCTGCTGGCACGCTTACAATGTAATGCAAAAGTGGATGTTAGGAAGAAACTGAAAATTCTCCACTGTGGCGTCTGTTTGTGTATGGAGGGGCAAAGTATGCCAAGATCTAGGGCCAATGACAGAAAAGGCTCTGTCCCCTCTGCCCCACCTAGTTCTGAGCCAATGACTCGGAAAAGTTTGCTCCAATTATTCCCCGGTCACGTTCCATTTTTAACCCAAAACCCATGGGACCAGAACTCCAGAGCCACTGTTTTTTTGGATCTACCCTCCTCTGCCCTCCAAGCTGTCGGATAATACGTTTTTTTTAACCTAATTTTGTTTGTGTTTTATGGAGCCTATGCGGAAGTTCAACTGAAGAAACTGATTGCTCTACTACATCCACCTGCAACACAGCAAATTAGTTTTGAACCACACCTTTACGAAAGCCAATCAGCATCCAAAGTTCATCTTAAAACTACTCCGATCTGCTCTTGTCTGCTCCTGTGCACAGGCAGCGGATGCACTGTGTGACTTCATTCAGATAACACCGTTTCAACCCACCTCCAGCTCCTCCTCCACCATTGCAGCTAAAGCTCAATCAGAGTGTAAATGCTCCCGGACTCTTGTTCCCTGTCTCATCTTAACCTGTCCGCCATGTTGAGCCTGGTTCTGTCAGAGGTTTCTTCCCAACGGGTGCTGCTCTGTGTTCCTGTTCATGCATATCAGTCAATACTTCAGTGCTATTTTTCATGCCGAGGTCTGAGCGCCAAAGGCAAAGTAATTGTATCAATAAAGTTCTCCTAATTGTCTTTTATTTTCATGTGAGTTTTTTTCAGATTGAACTGGGAGTTAATCTCTGTATGTGGGTCAGAAACCTGGACAAAACCATGGCAGGAGATTGATAATTCAGCTTTAAATAATAGTTCAATAAGTTTATGTTTGTAGACACTTCATAGTTCTTCTTTCATCAATGAAGAAAACAGTTTTATTCATTTTTTTGTTTTATATTAATTTTAGATAAATTTTAATGGAAATCACTAGAAATTTACTGGTTACCAAATGCTTAATC